ACTCAAAAAGACAGATCATCTAGCGTATGCGCGATCTGCTGCTTTGCTCCGAGGTTAAAAGAAAAGAGTGGGCTATGCTGTGATGTTCTGCGACTGGCTCGAGCAGACCCATGAGCTTTCTCGAAAATACTTAAGAAAAAATGGGAAAATACTATGCGGCACTGTCGTGCTGTGAAGCAAGCCTAGAAAAGAACACGAACCGTTGCGATGTGTCTGGGGGCGCGCTGGCGGTGCATTAACGAGTTCATCGCCAGAAGAGAGTATAAAGTCTTGCACTCGGCGTCTCCTCTTCCTCTTTCCTATTGCACATCCTGATTCTATTTCCAAAAACACTATACAAGAGTGCCAATGTGTCTGTCCTCTGAAAAGCAACAATCAATCCAAAGATGAGCAGCGAGACTCGCTCCCTTGAAAACAAGCAGTTCGTTTAGCTGACGTCTTCGTTTCGTCTCCGAGCTACACAACAAAATCAACACCAGCGAGTTGCGTGCATCCAAAAGACGATCTACTGCCCCCATGCTTCTCTGGACACCTCGCCACGATATCAATATATGAACCGTCTTCCTCCTGGCTTCCTACTTCTGCCATTCTACTCTCTACTTATCTAAAAGAATGTTTATTAAACAGCTCGGTCAGAACTCTGATGTGGGCTTGCCCTGCTCTTCTCCAAAATCCCTTAAACGTCTTCTCATGACTGTCTCTGCCTCGAGAAACAAGAAAAAGGATTCTGCATAGTCTACATGGACTTTCTCCTCTGCGCTGGCATTACTAAAAGATGTAAAGAGTTGGTTCATGTCGCAAAAAGCGCCAACAAAGACACTCGATGTGTGGCGCGCTGCCCGCAAAATGTTTGCCGGGTACTTCGCTAGTTCTCCTGGATTGAAGCCTTTGGTCTACTATATAAGCGCCTTCTTGTTCTTTACTTCTTCTCCAGCACTTCCTCCGCTTTGGACCGAAAAGTCCTGAAATAATAGCCCATGGCTGCTTCTCCGCTCCCAAAATCCTCCTCCGATATACATATGGCTTTGGGACTTCTGGTACCAAAATCAACCATCGCATACGTTATGTTCTGTCCTGTCTTCTGTTGCGACATACTAAAACATACGCTCGATCACCATATGTTTTCACACATTACCACCAAGAAACCTCTACCAGATATGGATATGATCGACACAGTCGCGGATCTCGAATCTATTTGCACTGGTTTGGCGCAGATTCTCAAACGTAGACAAGAAAGCAGCCATGCGTTGCAGGCACCAAAAAAGCAAATCTGGACAATACATGGGCTGCGGCGGCGGTGTGCCTAGTACCTGACGGCATATAAATACGCTCTTGTTGCTCGGTTTCTTCTCGCATCTTCATCCGCACATCTCTTCTGATGTTTACCAAAACGCTTAGAGTTATGCTCTATGTTCTGCCTTTCGGCAATTTTAAAACTACATGCTATGATGGCAATGTCTGTTCCGCCACTTGGTACTCTCTCGTCTATAAAATCCAAGGACTGCAAGCTCTCACTTCCTTTACCTATACGTATCTTCTTCTTACCAAAACATACCAAAGAGAGTCCCATGGGTTTGCGAACCAAGAGGTTCTTGCTACATGTCCTGGCTCTTCCGAGCTTCCACAACTTTCCAATACAAAACATGTAACCTTCTTGCCAACCCTACCCAAAAAAAAAAAAACAAGTGCAGCGCCTTTTCATGTCTTTCAGCTGCATCAGAAAACTACAAGACCTTCTGTGATGTTGTGGGCCTGCCGAAACGTGCGTGGCTTCACGCAATGGTTGGTTCCTGCCGAGTTGGCGAAGTCGAAATTTCTCAAAATTCGAATTGCCATTTCGATGAGTAACGAGGCTTGCTGACTGCTGTATAAAATCCTACTCTTGAGGCTGGATGTTTCTCTATCTTCACTTACTTTATAATACCAACAAAAAGAAGGACTTACAGTATCGATGAGTATGGTGTCGAAATCAAAATAGCATCCGACCAAACGATGTCTGCTTCGTTTGCTCGGCTCGAAAACTATACTGGTCGAACTCAGTTGTTGCCTCCTCTAAACCACTGAAACGACAAAACATACTCTGAATGAGAGTACTGAACTCCGCCACGAGGATGAACAGCTTCCCACTTCCTTCTCCAAAGATGTCGTCGAAATAATTATATGTCGGAAGCAACTGTATGCCACTGCTTCCCTCGTCAATATTACATTCTGGGCTGTCGACGTACACTCAGTCACGGTGCGTCATGTGTATGTCTCACGGCTTGACGCTTGCCCGAAGAGTTTGAGGAGTATAAAAGACCACAAACTGAACGTCGAACCAACGATGCAGACCAAGTCTCCTTGATCCTCAAGGTTTCTAAAAATAGCACTACACACGGCCATGTCTTCTCTTTCCCTGGGCACCAAAAAAACGGCTATAGTGGCTCTCATGGATTCAGAAAGATCGGTTAGCTGCGGATAGTGTCGACGGCCCGTCTCATAACTTTTCAAGGCTGCCTCTTTGGGAAGGGTCCTCCAATACATGTGATAATTCGTCATCTATACTATGAATATACATACCAACAACCGCTGACCTTTTGGAAATCATTTATCTCGAAGGCGACAGCCCACCGCTCATCGCCCATCGCCCATTTACTCAACAATCCCAACTACCTTAACATCATCCGCCCTCCACTTCCTCATCGGCACCTTCCCCAACTCCCCCCTCAGCCTCTTCCGATCCCCCCAAACCTCCTCTCCAACCTCCTGCCTGCTCACCCAAGCCCAGTCTCCTTTAAGCATACCAACCCCATACCTCCCATCTTCCTCTCCCACCTTCAACAACCTCGTATCCGAGCCCCAAATCCCCGCTTCTTCCGGATCAGAAATCAGTGTGTAACTCCTCTCATGCACAGTCTCGCTGTTCTCGAAAACGAGAAGCTCGGTATCATTGGGTGGGAAAGGATCGGTTTCGCCCTCTACATCTGCGTCGGGGGGACTGTAGCCTTTCATGGGCCCGCGCTTCTTTCCGGTTTTGAGGTCCCGGAGTTCGACGCTGGCTTTGTTGCGGCCGTGGGGGATGGAGCGTAGGACAGCGATGCCTTTTGTGTTTGTGATGTCGGTGCGGGTAGTATCTAGACGCCAGACGAGGGTGATGGTGCATGGTGGGTTGCCTGAGACGGATATCGTGTCGGTGGAGGTCAGGATGGTTGGGCGGATAGGTGGTGGCTTAGGGACTGTGGCGAGGACTTTGAAGGTGTAGCTAGGCAGTGGCGGAGATGGCTGCGGTATGTCTTCTGTTTCCGGCTCGGGTAAATTGGATGGGTCATGATGCTCACCAGTGTACCATGTCGTAATGCCATGAGACCGGAGACGGATGGTATACGTTTTCCCCGCTACGAACGATGATGGATCGAAAGCATAAGGCATAGGATTTGAAACCGTAGTGCCTGGACGAGTCGACCACATGATATAGCTTTCGAGCTTTTCGGGGTCTAGTACAAGAAGTCGTCGTTCAATGTCTTGAGTAGCAGTGCTGGAAGGCAGGTAGTTCACACTTTCACCAGTCTCTGCATCGACGATTTCGAACAAGCCCTTGGAAAATGCCGCCTCAGGATCACAGATGGTGTGTTTGGTGTCGATGGTGAATTTAGAGTGGTAGTCGACGTTGCGTACAAGGCTGATGTCGAACGTATCGCTGCAGTCAATGTAGCAGAATGCACTGGTGTAGAGTGTGAAATTGATAGAAGGAGCCATGGTAGATGTTGCGACAATAGTTCTCCGCTATCAGATCTCTCAAGTTTTCTGATGCAGTGACGACGAATATAAGGAATGATGTGTCGGTGGTTTTGCCTACCCAGGCACCCATGGTGATGTGACGTCAACGGCGCTAGTCTCTGGTCGGGTGTCACCAAAACGCCCCAGACCTTGTTCTCGTTCGTCGCATTGAACATGCGCAGTAATTCTTTCCGTTCCGCCCCCCAAATGAAACATTTACGAGGGCGCAAGGCGAAATGGGGATGCTTACGGGGCGAAGTGACGACATAGCCATCGTGGAGTATCACCTCCCGAGGTCTCTACGCGCCATACCGTAATCATGGCTGTACGTAGTTAAAGGATCCGGGCCGCCTGTTTTCTGAAGAGTTTGTTGGACCGATTACTAAGGCTACATGGTAATGTTGAAAGTAAGCCGCCCCAGAACAAAACCACCGTGTTGTTCAATGGGGGCGATAGTTCCTTGATTCTGCCTTGGACACCATGTTCTATCACGATCGAACTGAAACAATGATGGTTTTTTGTACCTAGATGCCGTGCGACTGCTGCGGGATCAAGTTCGAAGACGATCTGTGCGGATTCCAAGTCACAGCCACTTGGCCCCAAGAGAAGCATCAGGCAGATTGACACGACGTTGTATCCTCACTATTCCCTCGTCTCGATCGATCATCTTGGCCAGCCCCACGGCAAATGTCTCGATCAATCATCATAGCCATGTTTCAAGGCCCTATTCACATACTCGGAAAGCCCGAGATTCCAGCGACTACCCAGAAATCACGAGGTAAGGCGGCATCATCCCGTGGACTCAGGCGTAATCTGGTCTCTATGGAGGTCGTATGTTGGCGATGTACGATAAATGCCCGAGTGGAAATAGCCCCAGCGGTTGTGTATAAAGCACTGGTAGTCTGAACACTGGACTCTTGATGATACCACAAGCCAGACCTACTTAGCTTAATTGCCTTCTACCACTACGAGAATGTATTTCAATCCGAGCATCCTTGCGACAGCGCTTTCAATCAGTCGGCTTACCTCCGCTAAGCCCATCGATGGGTCAGTCACACTTCTACCATGTCTGATAGCCATGTCGAACTAACTTTTCGTAGCAAAGTCCACGCTGTGAAGCGAGAAGACCCTGTGTCTTACCCTTACGGCGATGCACTTCCCAACGAATTCCAGTGGCTGGGTTGGGATCCCAAAGATGAGGATCAAAAGAAAGACGGACAAAAGATACACGAAGCGTTCAAACAATGGGTACGTAATCAGTCACGCGAAGGAAGACCTCCGTTTGTTGCTTTTGTTCCAAAATGAGCGTATCGTTAACAAACGTTCGACTGTATAGGCAGACCTAGCCAAAGCAGGCATTACAGCAGCTGGAGGCGCTCCCGACAACGTTCACTTCAAACGCTTCTTCGGCAAGCAAGATGCAGACGACACAGAAGCCATTCAAAAGACCATGGCAAATATGTACGACACCACAGCAGACTCGGCTACGGAAACCATTAAGAAAATGGTCCTTGAGCGTTCTGACTTCGGCGACCATTGTGAGAAAGACGGTTGGTTCGCGTACACAACTCCCACCGATGGACACTTCCACCTGTGTCCCAAAGCAATTGCCCTGAAGCAGAATTCGGAGACCGAATGTACGGATTTCAAGCGAGACTACATCGACAACACGGCGAGGACGCTGTCTTTTGTCATGCTACACGAGTTCACGCACTACGATTTTGTGGCCGACGACAGGATTGGTGGTATCATTGATAACGCTATAACTTCTGTCAATTGCTTCAACCTTGACGATGATGAGAAGCTCAACAACGCTCAGAGCTACGCGTTCAACGGCGCAGTAAGTCTCTGTCTCTAATGCATACAATATAAGCTAAGAAGATATTTCCAGGAGCAATACTGGTCCGACAAATGTCCAGACAAGGACTTCACCGACCCTGGTGTTAAACGTCCGGAGCAAACTCCCACACCAACGCCCACGCCAACACCGACGCCAACACCCGAACCCGTAGCCCCCTACGCCGACCAACCCGGCCAATGCCACATCCACGTCAACGAATACGAAACCTGCGACTCGCACGACGAAAACCTCAGCGTCGAAATAACCATGTGGGACGTTTCCGGGGCCCAAATCGGCTACGTCGACCGAACCGTCGCCGGAGCCGGAAACCCACTCATGATGAAGAGCAAGCTAGAAAACACCCTCGAAGTCACGCCAGAGAACCAGAAGGATTACATCCAATTCACCCTTGGCGGGCAGTCGTGGGCGACGAACAAGGATAACGACGAGAGTGCGCCGGCGTATTGTAAGGTTGGGGGCTGGGACCCGAGGGCTGGGCCGTTGTGTAACGAGTTTGATAGCGGTACGGCTCAGGAGTCCAAGAGGCAGATGGATTGTTATTTCCAGTGTGCTTGGGGTGGTGGGGCGACGTCCGATGGATCTTAGGGGTCTTGTTGGAAGGGCAAGATATACTAGACGTTTGCGCAGAGACGGACTGCGTTCCTGTCGGACGAGGAAAAGTGGACACTCTTTTTGTATGGCGTGGAGGAGAAGGATTTCGGTTAGTAACAGCACACGAACATGGAGTAATGGAATGTACAATATATCCTCGATTTCTCACACGTCTCACGTAACACATCTCATCCTCTCATCACCGCCCGATCCATCGACTACGCATACAGAAGCAGACGAAAACGCTCGAAAAGCACAAGAACAAACAAACAGGGGTATCTCAAGGCTCAGACGATATGCAACAAGGACGTTAGAACGCGTCGCTCCCACCGACCGTAACGCCTTGTGTCAGTCAGGGTCGTCTTCTCACGAGCCGGTGAAGAGATGCCAGACAACTGTAGAAACAGGCAGCAAACTCCACAGAACGCCTCAAATGCCGCATGTAAAACACGTAAAGAAATTAGTTCGTAATCAGCCGCCTGGCATGTTGAGTGCCATCGAGTAGCAGACCTAGAGGTGGGGCTGTTAGCGGGGACGCCTTACGAAGGCGATGCAGGGAGCTCAAAGCTCCATTCTCTCAATGATGCCCTCGCTCATCGTCCGTATCTTACTCACGGCCCTCTCTCGGTCTACCAGTGACTCAACGTCGCTGTCGTCATCGCTCTCGTAGTACTCGGCGTCCATGCTCATATCTCTGGCTGGCAGGTACCGCTGTTGTTCTGCATCGACGACATCGCCGGGGTGGTCAATGACCATGTTGTCGAGCTCATCACTGTCTCCATATGCCTCAAGTCCCTTCCTAGCACGATCGCCGAGCCAGTATTCCGCGCGCTTCCTACTGCCCGCATTCGCACTGGACTCGTATTTTGATGCTTTGAATTTCGACATGAGCGACATGGCGACACTTGGTGAGTTCGACAAAGCCGATATCCCACGGAGATAGAAGTATGCGACTCGCTTCCGCTCCTTGTTGTACAGGAAGAAGTGGTGACTCCAAATCGCACCGTCATCAGCGAAGGGGTCATCTGACGGCTCCCATGCATAGTATTCACAGTTCGACATGTCCATCTCCGTATCGAGCAGGTGCCAACTTCGCGGACTCCATATCGGCGACCCAAGCGGTGTGACTGCGCCTGCTGGTAGTCCGGCGGAGTACACTTGCGGGCGGAGATAGTACATTGTAGTGTCGATCTTGTGCATGAAGCTGTGGATGGTCTCGCGACGAAACTCATCAGGGTTCAGCGTGTTCGCGAAGTCGTAATCGATGTGTGTGGCATTGAGCGTCGCGATGAGGTATGCGAAGGTGTGGCGGTTTGCTGCTTCGCTGAAGGATCCGAACGGCGTGTCTCGGGAGATGTCGAGTTGGTCTGCGAACTGAGCTGCAGACTGCTCGGACAGCCCCGCCACCGCTGAAAGCAGGTCCTTGTGCCGCTCCTCGAGCGTCCGCTCGATGCGCTTGTACAACTTCTTGTCGCTCCCCGCTGCTTTAATCGTCCAGAGATCGCATCCGCCGATGATTGCGGTATCTTGTGTATCGAAGTTGAGGGCGAGGTTGACCTCGTGGAGGGCGCACAAATCGAGGTACTACGGTCCCACCGGGTCAGCTATGTCGTCACTCTGGCCTTATCGCATCGAGCACTTACCTTCATTGCGCTTGATGTGGACTCGCTTGGGCTGAGTGCCTATGATAGAATATATCGCGTTTGATCCGAGATCTTCGAGATGCGGTATGATTCAGCGCGCCGTGGCTGCTGGGCGTGGGTGTGGCTGTGGTCGGGAGGGGGTAGCCTGCGCGAACCGATACAACAAGTAAACACGACTCTAGGCTGGCTGCGGAGAGGAGAGGGTACTGTCGTTCGGCCAGACGATCGTCTAGCAGGCAGTGGACATATGTATGGCTTGGGCTTGGTAGTGGTGTGAGATGTCGGTGTCGCTCTAACGACGTGGTCGCGATTGCGGAGAAGGTCAGCTTGGCGGTGTCGCCGAGCTAACAGCGGCATGTGTGTCGGGTCGTCCTTCCTGATTGGTCGATGCGCAACCTGCCTCTCAACCAACAACAGCTGCCGATAAGAGTGTATGGGTAGGCGACTGGTGTTGAGTGTTGATGTTAGTCGTATGCGACCATGCCGAGTGCGTCTGGTACGCGGGGCATGTCATCTGATGGTCGAGCATGTGAAGGATAGAAGATGCCTGGAGATGAATCCACGTGAATTCGGCAACGTATCATTTGATGAATGCATGTCAAGGTTCTGGATGAAGGACCAAACGCTGATCCGAACCAATTGCTGTCACGAAGTGCAGGTGCGCAGTGTCTCGGTGGTGTGGAGACCTGTAGCTAGATGAATACGGTAAGTGTACCAGCATAAGGAAAAGTAAAAAAAGGGAGAGAGAGTTGTCAAGTCTATCAGGGTGAAGTCTCGATATCATGATGTGTGATCACGTTCGAGCCCTTGAACCGCTTGTGTCAAACCTAGCTGTGTCGAGCAAGCCCGCCAGTCCGAGGTGTATGAATTGTAGTAGATAGAGTACAGCTACCGCCATCCGCTTTACAAGGCAGGATGGCAGGTAGTGCGTTCTCCAGATGATCCAACCCCTGCGCCGTGTGATATCGTTTCGCTCTTGACGCCTGCCCTTGAAAATGTGTTTAGCATGAGCCGTGTTGTGACAGTCGACTGTGTGCCGTAGCCCTACCCCAAACTCCAATAACGCCGTACAATGTGTGTTCGTATGCGGATGCCGGATCGGGTCTACAAGATGCCGCTCTCTCGAAGTCGGCCTTTGAATTCATCCGCGTTCTGGAAGCCATCAGGCGCGGTCAGTGGGGACTCTTGGGACGGCGATGACGGAGGGCCAGAAGGTGAGGTGCGACAGTGCGTTCCGTACACTTTTACATAATCTTGGTAACGATATCGTCCTCAGCCTGACGACAGGGCGCGTCAGCCAGCTGGCGCTATGGGTGCGTGCGGCGAAACAGACCCGAAAGTCATCACACCTCACTCACCTCCATATCTTCGAGGCTGTCTTGCTGTCCTATACACCGGAGCACGTTCTTTTTGCTGCTCTCTTGCATCTCACCCGCAAGCAGTAGCTCGTCCAGGATGAAGTAGGCCTTTTGGAAGTTGAAGATGATGTCGAGCTCGCAGACGTTACCGTAGTACTTGTCCATTTGCTCGACATAGCGGTGGACGATTTCGAGCGTGATCAGCTCATTGTCGGTCGAGTCGCAGCCGGCGATGAAGAAGAGCGAGGCATATCGGCGATATACGATCTTGGTGTCTGGAGAAAGTGTGAGCTAGCGAAGCTCTTACCCCTGCCGGACCCACTGACCTTTGTACTCTAGGAAGTTGCACATGCGGGTGCGGCGGGCGAGGACGAGTTGCGAGACGTCTTTGACAATCTTGGCTTTGTCTTTGGGGGCGAGCGTGGTGAACCACTTGGCTAGGCGCTACGAGCTTCAGCAAGGGACTTGAGATTCTAGGGTGAGGGACCAACCACTTTGCCCTGCCGGGACAGCAGAATGAGGTACCTGAGCTGTTAGCACTATAGTTCGCTATGGGCAGTGTAGGGAAGTGCATCTTACTTGATCGTCATGGTGTCGTGTGAGGAGAAGATGGCGGTAGCTTGTGTCTGGCGCAATGGGGAAAGATGTTAGGTTCGGCGATCGGCGGTCACAGGCCAGCCCCGCGACTTTGAGACGCCAATGCGCCCTCATATCCCCGCTATCACCATCTCAGTCTGGACAGTAGACATTTGCGCGCAAGCAATTCTGCTCTTAGCCCATTCCTACTAATCAGTGCCTAAAGCCTTGCGATACAAAATAACTGCGCTACTGCACATCCGACGCGACTGCTATCCTAAGACGACCCACCCGCTGACAAACGTTCACCCTTCATCGGCAACTCGATTACCCCCGAAGAGTCACCACCGCACAATTTAGGAGGCTCTTTCGTCAGAACTGTTCTATCTCGCGTGATAATTGCGCAATAAGATTGATCGCCATCATGAAGCTCGTACTATCTACCTCGTACGTCTCTCTATCTCCCCAAATGCCTTACCTAACAACCCAGGAATACCATGTCCGGTGGTCCTTCCGTGATAAGACGACCCTTCTTCGAGAAATCAAACACTGAACTCACCTCCTCCCTGCGCGCAAACTTCGCTGCCCACCAATCCTCCCCAACCCCCTCAAAACCCGACTACACAACATGGACCACCAAGACCGACTCCGCCCTATACGTACCCACGCACACGCCATCACCTCTCACCGAACCGCGAGAATCCTATGACATCACAGTCAAGTTGTTCTACCTTCCCAACATACCCACCGACAGACGCTGCGCACAAACACGAGAAGCGATAGAACTAGTACTGAAAGAGTTGGGCACATCCTCGATAGACCTCCTCAT